TGCAGTACTCATGTTCAACCGTGTTCCCATTTCTTGTTGAAAACTTGACCAAAATCTCGAACTAAACCTAGCATCTCTATCTGAGACAATGGATATCGGTACACCATGTCTCGACACGATCTCATTGACATAAAGTTGGGCCAATCTTTCTAATGTATACTTGTCGCTGATCGGTAAGAAATGAGCAGATTTCGTTAGTCGATCCACAATTATCCATATGGCGTCGTGTCCTTTTACCGTCCTTGGAAGTTTGGTGACAAAATCCATCGTTATCATATCCCACTTCCATACTGGGATCTCCATTTGTTGCAACATTCCAAACGGCTTTTGATGTTCTGTCTTCACTTTCAAGCACGTCAAGCATTTTCCCACATAGCTAGCTACTGCCCTTTTCATACCAAGCCACCAATAGCTTTCTTTTATATTCTTGTACATCTTATTACTACCTGGATGCATAGTATATTTGGACTTATGTGCTTCATCCATCACTACATTTCTTGGGTCCCCCAAACTAGGAATCCAAACCCGATTTCCGTGTCTATATATTCCATCTGGTCTAGCCGTCAAAGTCTTAATTTGTCCAACCATTCTCTCCTTTTTAATATTCGTTTCGAGTAAAGCTTCCTTCTGAACATCCCGAATTCGGTCTAGAAACTCCACTTTAACACTCATCCACATGGCTCGAACCCTGATTGGTCCGTTTCTCTCCTTCCTACTAAGTGCATCGGCAACTACATTTGCCTTACCGGGATGGTAGTGAATCTCACAATCATAATCCTTAAGTAGTTCCATCCATCTTCTTTGTCTCATATTTAGCTCCTTTTGATCAAACAAGTATTTAAGGCTCTTATGATCAGTATAGATCATGCACTTCGTACCGTACAAATAGTGTCTCCAGATTTTTAGCACGAAGACTACAGCTGCTAATTCCATGTCGTGAGTTGGGTATTTCCTCTCGTGTTCTTTCAACTGAAGTGACGCATAGGCAATGACCTTGCCTCGCTGCATTAGTACACAACCCAAACCTATTTTTTATGCATCGCTATAAACGACAAAATCTTTTACTCCTTCCAGTAGTGATAAAACCGGTGCAGTGCTTAGTCTCTCCTTAAGTGTCTGAAATGCTTCTTCTTGTTTTGTTCCCCAATCAAACTTAACCGACTTCTTTGTCAGTGTTGTCAAAGGCGTTGCTATCTTGGAGAAATCTTGGATGAACCTTCGGTAATACCCCGCTAGGCCTAGAAAACTTCGGATCTCCGATACTGACTTTAGTGATTCCTAGTTCATAATTGCATCAATCTTAGCCGGATCCACCTTGATCCCTTCCGTGTTGACTACGTGACCAAGGAATTGTACCTCATGCAACCAAAACTCACATTTTGAGAACTTGGCGTACAATTGCTCTTTTGCTAGTAATTCAAGAATCATCCTTAAGTGTTCTTCATGCTCCTTTTTACTTTTCGAATAGATCAAAATGTCATCTATAAAGACTATGACAAATTGGTCCAAATACGGTCCACAAACTCGATTCATTAAGTCCATGAATGTTGCAGGTGCGTTTGTTAACCCAAACGACATTACTACAAATTCATAATGTCCATAACGAGTCCTAAAAGCGGTATTCGACACATCCTCTTCTCGAACCTTCAACTGATGGTAACCCGATCTTAAATCGATTTTCGAGAAATAACTGGCTCCTTGCAACTGATCGAAGAGGTCATCGATCCTTGGTAGTGGATATCTGTTCTTTATCGTGATTTTGTTCAATTCTCGATAATCGATGCACATCCTCATTGTGTCGTCTTTCTTTTTGACGAATAAAATCGGTGCTCCYCATGGCGACGAGCTTGGCCTGATAAACCCTTTATCTAAGAGTTCTTGCAATTGCTTCATCAGCTCTTGCATTTCTGTTGGGGCTAAACGATAAGGCGCCCTTGTGATTGGTGCCGCACCTGGTACCAAATCGATTCGGAACTCTACTTGACGTTCCGGTGGTATTCCCGGCAATTCATCTGGAAATACTTCTGGGAAATCCTTCACCAATGGAACATCATGTATTGTCTTCTTTTCGAGCTTGACGTCGATGGTGTATGCCAAGTAAGCCACACATCCCTTTTGCGGACACCTATTCGCCTTAATTGTATTGATTAACCCTACGCAACACTTCTTTCGATCACCGTAAACATGAATTGTTTCTCCTTCCGGAGTTTGAATCTTGATCATATTTTTATTGCATACTATTTGCGCATGATTGTTGGACAGCYAATCCATCCCCAAGACCACGTCAAAACCCCCTAARCACATTGGCATAAGCCTAACARRGAAATCCTTACCATCTATAACAATTGTGCATTCATCAAATACTTCGTCTACCTTACACTGACTACCGTCGGCTGTTTCTACAGTGTAGGTTTTGTCTAGYCTACAGGCACTTCTATTCAGATAGTGGCAGAAGGTAGTAGACACAGAACTACCATTTGCACCCGAATCAAATAATACATGTGCATACACATTGTTGATAGGGAACATACCAGATACGACGTCGGGTGTTTCCTTGGCCTCCTCCAAAGTCATGTTGTAAGCTCGGTCGTGTCCCTTAGGTAGCTCCTTCCTATTTTCTGATCTCTTCCCAAATCCGTTATTCACTGTCTTTACATGGGGTGTCGCACCATTTCGATGTTTTGGATAGTCAGGTCGTAAATGTCCCGTAGCCCCACATTTATAAGAAGTTTTTCCTTCTGGGCACTCTCGCGCGGTATGCCCAGGTTTGTCACATTTGTAGCATGTCAGGCTCCCTGCTCTACACTCTCCCCTATGTCTCTTGTTGCATTTGTTACATGGAGGAATAGTGAATCCCTCACTTCGTGTTTTTGCCAGAGTCGGAGTCCATTTTGGTTTCTTGTTGAACTTGTTCGATCCTGTCCATCTTCTCTTTGCATCTTTTCTATCACAATTCTCCCTAGCGTTGTTCTCCTCTGCCACCTTCGCCATCTCCACTGATTGTACAAATGTGGTCGGTTTAGTCATGTCCACATACCGTTTGATTTCGATTCTTAAGCCGTCTTTGAAGCGACCTATCTTTATCTCTTCGGTAGCCACCTGGTAACTGGCGAACCTCGCTTTTTCAAGAAAATCGTTAACATATTCTTGAACCGACAACGAACCTTGCTTTAATCTCAAAAATTCTGATTCTAGCTTGTTCACCTCCGATTGTGTACAGTACTTATCCATCATCATCTTTTTCATTTGCTCCCAAGTCATGGCAGCAATATCCTCATCACCTCTGATTGCACACTCAGACTCCCACCAATGCAATGCATAGTCCACAAAGGTTGTAGCAGCATAGGTCACTTTTTGATCTTCTGTGCATCTACAAATTTTGAAGCTACTCTGCATCTTGGTTATCTAGTTCATCAGGCCAACTGGGCCCTCTATTCCCTTAAATTCTTTCGGCCCGGTGCCTTTGAATGTTTTAAAACTGCATCATTTCTCCTTTATTGTCAATTCAGTCCTCTCGCTGGTGGGCGACTCCACCTTCTCTTTAACAGATACTTCCACCTTTTTCAGTGGCTTGAGTATTCTCGTGTTGAATACTTTCCTCCTCTCCATCTTCATTGTCTTTAAATCTGTCACCCAACATTGCTTTAAGCATATTTGGCAATGTATCCCGGAGGACTTGTGCCATTTGCTCAACTATCATTTCCTTTGTGAGGAGATTTTCTTCTCCCTGGTCTCCTTGACTCCTACTGGTAGCTAAATTAGCTTGCACGGATGGAGTCGTACTAAAACTAGCGGTTCGGACACTTCCTTGACCTCGAATTTGGGCTCGTGTCCGACCTCGAACTGTTGGTGGGGCTATGCCATTAGTACCTCCCCCATTGAGGGCGTTCCTTGTTGATCCACGAGAAACCATACTGACATAATAGGGTATTATCATTTTAATCATGATTCTAAAGTCAAACATAACACATTACATTTTTTTTTGATAATATAATCACTATATATAAGCGAAATACATAATAAGG